ATCAGACGCCATCAGAGGTACGATCTTGTCTCCTGCAGGCAGGCACATCAGGTAATACTAAACTGCCCTATAAATACCCCCGAGTTCTAAACGAGGAGGGGGGGACACTTCTTCACTAGAAAACTCCCTCCACATCATCTAACTTAATCGTCGGAGGGGTCGAACCGAGCTTCCGACCCGACCTGTGTGCAGGTACAAGGGCGGGGTTGCATCTTCCCGGTGCTACGGAAAAGCTTCACTCCACATGCAACGTCCCGCCCGGACCATCGCAACCGGCCACCCCGGCTGTCCCGAGGAACGCCGCGCAAGATCCCCGCACATTCGGACCCAACCAAGCCGCGTCGGCCCCAAGGCCATGACATAAAGTTGTTTACCCCAACATTTTGGCGCTAGAAGGAGGGCCCCGAATGTCGAGCGATCAGTAGATCCACTCTGGCGAACCCGCAGCCATGGGGTCACGTCCGATCAACACCCTAGAAGAACATCCCATGCGTGATGAACCCCGAGACGAACGCCCTGCCACGACATCGGAGCGCTACTGGCGGTTGTTCAACGACCCGGGTTTGTCGCCACCCGACGACCCCGTCGGCCCGTCGCCTGTATCGCCCGAAGCCTTCCACGACCTCACTCATCAAGTCCGAGCACTGGCGGGCGTGGTACAAACTATCATCCCGCTCGTCTCCCAACCGACGACCCCGCATATAACCCAGCCTCTGCAGCAGCGGGAGCCCCCCACCCAGACTCATGCACCACTTCCCGAGCTCCCTGCTTCACCTCGGAACCGAACAGCCCAGCCCGGGAACCGAGAGGCGGAAGACACGTCGAGTCGCCCAGAGCTTGAGGCGCTATCCGCGGACTCGACGAACGCCCTGCGAGCCCAGTTGCGCCTCGTTAGTCGACGCCTCGACGAAGTACAGCAGGAGGTTCGCAGGTCAAAAGGAGAGCTCGGAGCGGACGGACACCAAGGGTCCCCGTTCGCGCCCGAAATACAAGATCAAGTGATTCCATCGCATTTCCGACTCCCTTCGCTGGACGCCTACGACGGCACCGCTGACCCAGCGAATCATGTAGCCACTTTTCGCGCCCAGATGGCGCTATATGGGACTTCTGACGCCTTGATGTGCAGAGCGTTCCCAACAACTTTGTGGGGTCCAGCCCGCGCGTGGTACAGTGGCCTGAAGACCGGGACCATCGCTTCCTTCGATCGGCTCGCCAAGAACTTCGAGCTCCACTTTGTGGCCTATGTACGGCCGAAGCCTTCCGCGGCACCACTCCTCGGACTCAAACAAGGGGAGGATGAGCCCCTCTCCCATTTTGTGGATTGCTTTGCCACGCAAATCCGGGGCCTGCCGGACACTCACTCCTCTCTATTAGTGCAGGCGTTCATGATCGGCCTGCGACCTTCCAGATTCCTCTGTTCACTCGCGGAGCAACCTCCCACGACGGTGCCAGAGATGCTCCAGCGCGCTAACCGGCACATCGCGGCGGAAGCCTGGGCGGCCATGAGGAGAAGCAACGGCCCCCGACCGCGGGCTCCGTAACAGAGTTAGAGCACCCGCGGTGGCTACCCCATGTAGTCTTCATGAAAAGAAATCCAAGCCCTGCCTCAGCCCTTTTCGAGCCAAGGTCCAGTATCTACCTGACCCCCTCTCGGCTCGTGGCTTAAAATCTTCTTAATCTACACGGCTCGGCCATGGACAGCCGAGCCCCCCTCAGGGCGGCTTGCCCACCTGAGTTGCATCCCTTGGCCGCAGCCCGCCTGCGCCGAGCTCCTCGGCCACAGACTGCCGAGCAAACCTCAGGACGGCTTGCCCAC